TCACTCCAGAAACTCGCTGGTGACTTGACTTGACATTCATTTGGAAATAATAATTCAAAACCAGCAAAATTGCAACTTTTAAGTAGTTTTGTTTAAAAACACCTTAGAAACGACAAAATCCAAACAACCAAAGCGACTTTGCAAGATTTCGAACAATGTCAAAATGAATTGATTAAGATATGTCAAAAAATAAAACCTAATCTTTATTTCATGAACCATAAAGAACTGTGGGAGCAGATAAAATGTTATACACCAAGCAGCAGTCAACTATAATTTACCAGTCTCTGACTCTATTTCCAGCCCTCATATAATTCCATATTTACCCTATAGGCGTAGCGAAAGCACACATAGGCATAGTTGCTGCGTATGATACGTACAGTTTCCTGTGTTTGTTCCTAATCTGCTTAGTTGTTATCATGTATGTAGTTGCTGGATATTCCAGATTAGGAGGTTGTATTAAAATATTCTTCAATAACTGATGTGACAACCCATAGCGTTTTACGGATCGTTTCTCTCTGATAACATCGATATAAACCATCTGAGAAAATAAATATGGTTATGTAGTACGCGATACCTTTTTGTTTTGAGCTGCATTCGTCTGAAACTTAAACAACTGGTTTTTAATCGATAGAGATTAACAGAAATAAAAAATTGATTTACTGAAAAATCATGTGAACGATTTGACTTTTTCTTTAAGCACCTTGTGAAAGTTATTATGTAGTTTACTGTGCAATTGTAGTTAGTTAATATTTTGCCTGAATAAGTAAATACAGAAACTATTTTCATGCTCACCGGGACCAAATTATGTATTTATAGTTTTAATATATTTGAAAATTCCAAAACTCTTTTTTAAATAATAATTAAGTGACATTTTCGAGATAATTTCAAAAACTTTCAATTAATTATTCATACCTAATGAAATGCATTCGTATATAGGTACTTTATTTATTCATCGGTTGACGCCTTTGGAAATCACTCATCGCTGTTTCATTGAAGTTGTTAGCTAATAGGGAAAATTTTTTATACCATTTGTTCATAGGCGTTAATTTAGTATTTCAAAACGAATTCTTGTATTATTTTATTTTTTAATACTGTAGCCAAAAACCTTTTTAAAATTAATTTTTAAGTCAAGACGATAATATTACTGTATTCTTATTCAGCGTGTTTCAGGTATTACTGGCAAGGAGTGATTGTACCGTTAAAATAAATGAGATTTACCCAAATATATTTATATCCAAAAGTTCCCCGTTTCCTTTATTTACCTGGAAACCCTTCGTGATAAAACAACAACAATTCTATGGTGTAATGGAATATCTTTAATCTAATTATTCAGTATGTTTAAGTATTCCCATTATCACCAGTGGTGTAGAAACCCTGTGACACTCTTCTTTTATTTACAATAAAAATAGTACGCCACTGTCTTAATCATGAAACCTTAGTTATAAAAAGTATTCCAAGTTTTGATTATTTTGAACAAATAACACAGGCCGACAAAATTTGGCCGACACTCTAACCCAGAAACCAGAATGTACCTTTCCGAAGGATTTTGGTGAGCTGAATTCGAATCCGAGGCCCAAATTTCTCAATTAGCTCTGGTTTTCGAGATATCCTAACCTAAAAGTGCCAAAATCAGTATTTCTTTTTACATATTTGAGGTTATGTTACAAGAATTGGTAATTTTTTTTTCTAAAACCATTAATGGCATCTTAAAGTACTATACTCACTCTTTAAAACGCACTTGAATTTATCCCGATATGATTTTTCGTTTTTGAGAAATCGCATGTTGAAATTTAGTAGTTTGACTTATTTCTTGATTTTTTAATATACTGCCACAACAGCAAAACAAATCTAAATTCATCGGCATCCGGAAGAGTTCTTACATGTTTTTAGGGTCGCTGATCATAAATCTGAACTCCAAAATACTCTATCACGTCAAATTTTGCAATAAAGTTAAAAAAATATCTCAAAATTCGATATATGGCCGATATTTTACGCATTATATCGATCTGGAAATACATTTACACGCAAAAGAGGCTAATACGTTCAATCCAGAACTCACAAACTCTAAGCTGAAAAACTTTAAGCCCATAAACACTTAACCCATAAACTCCAAACTCATAAACTCTAAAAATCGAGAAATAACTAGTTTTCAACATGCGATTTCTCAAAGACGAATAGTGATATCGGGATAAATCCAAGTGCGTTTAAAAGAGTAAATACAGTACCTTAAGACCCCATTAATGGTTTAAGCAAAAAAGTTTACCTTTCCATGTAACATAACCTCAAATATGTCAAAAATAGCGATTTTTGCACTTTTAGGTTAAGATATCTCGAAAACCAGAGCCAATTGAGAAATTTGGACCTCGGATTCGAATTCACGGTACCAAAATAATTTGGGAAAGTATATTCGTATTGTTGGGTTAAAATTTTGTCGGCTAACGTAATTATTCTTTGAAATTTTCCTTAAAATGCATCGTATTGAAGTACCTATTTATTCATTTAAAATATCTGGATGTGGGTTATGAAATGCACTACTTTTAGTCCATTTTTCAGTGATGCGCATTTGAAAAGCGTGATATATTTTTAAAATTTGATAAATAAATTTGACGCATTTGATATAACGCACATCCCCTTCAAAATGGTGTCAACTCATTTAAAATTTTTTGATTATTTAAAAAATAAACAACTTAACTTGCGTTCTTTCTCCCTGCAAAATAATATTTTTGTAAACTGGAAAATTATTAGAAAGATGGTGCTAACTACATAATATTTTTGTGTAGCCATAATAAATTAATAATTTTCCTTTGCAACTCCTGTAAAATTGAAATATTTTGAGATACGACAGTTTCAAACGTGATGTGCGATGTCGTAAATCTAGTGCTGATACTAAATTGTATTTAATAAAATCAGTATTATGAATACAGTGAGCCATAATTTATCTATAACTATAATTTATGGATAAATTTGTTTGTTAGTTAAATAATTCCATGTAAATAAATAGAAAAGTTGTACTTTAAAATGTATTCGTACAAACAAATTCGCATATTATAGACGCTAACAGTTATTCTTTTTTATCACATTTTTAAAAGTGAATCAGTTACTAATTAATATGTAAAAATCATCGAGTTTATTTAAATATTATTTGACATTTTGACGGTTTTTATCGTTGACATCCCATTAAATATTTAATTAATTGCAAAAAAATGTACAAATGAAATAACAGAAACAAAGAGAAATTAATCCATAGAGTAAAAATGTATCTAAATATAAACAAAATATTTAGCATCACTTACATAGCTATCAACATTATCCATAAAGTGTGGAAATAATTTGTGTTGCTTGCTAATATTTTTCTATTTCTCAATATTACGTCAATACTGTTTTTTGTTTGTTGTTTGTTAAATTTTAAATCGTTTTTTTGCGATTATTCTGAAAATATGTAGGTTAGAAACTTGAAAATTTGTGAAACTATATTTCTTTAGGCGGCGAATAAGATGCGCGTTGTAGTTTCAGCATTGCTCATAGAGGGCGCCACTTACAACCAATTTTACCGAAACTTTAGTTAATAACTTTTTACCCTGTATGTTTAACATGAATCTTGATTCAAAACCTGAAAGAGCAATTATTTTCCCATTCATTATGTATTCTTGTTTCATTTCGGTATCTCGATCCGTTTTCGAGAAAAATCGATTTAACGAACACTGTTTTGATAATACGAGAAATTAAAAGCGAAACAAACCGTGTTTCTTTGTGTTATTACAACAATTAACAATAAAACAAATGAAATTCGTAATAATGATTTAAAGTCAGTATTCGAAGAATCCACCGTTGACATTTACACAACTTTGCACAACGTTTTCTGAGAGATCTTCAAGTTTGAAACAACATATTGGGATTGCGTTTGACTTCGTTGGCAGCGATTTGTATTCTTTGCCACAACTCTTCACACGAACCAATAGATTCTATCAAATAGAAAAGTGAAGAGGATCGAAGTCCGGACTTCTGGGTGACCAAGTAAAAATGCTTCCACTGCTTGAAGAAGTTCCACTTTATTTAAGGAGAGACATGTGGTTCATGCACGACGGAGCTCCGCCGCATTCTTCTTGGCCAGTGCGTGCATATTTTGATGCAGTTTTTCCAAATCGCTGGATTGGCCATCTAAGCATTTTTGCTTGGCCATCCAGAAGTCCGGACTTCAATCCTCTTGATTTTTCTTTTTGGTCTCAAATGAAAGATATAGTTTACAAAGAATCTATTTGCTCGTGTGAAGAGTTGTGGCAAAGAATACAAATCGCTGCCAACGAAGTCAGATGCAATGCCAATATGTTGTTTCAAACTCGAAGATCTCTCAGAAAACGTGTAAAATGTATCAGTGTCAACGGTGGATTCTTCGAACAATTACTTTAAGTCATAATTGCGTATTTTATTTGTTTTATTGTTAATTGTCGTAATAACACGAAGAAATACTTGGTTTGTTTCGCTTTCAATTTCTTATATTATCAAAACATAGTGTTCGTTAAATCGACTTTTCTCGAAAACGGATCGAGATACCGAAATGAAACAAGAGGACATAATTAATGGAAAAATAATTGCTCTTTCAGGTTTTGAATCAAGTTTCATGTTAAACACACAGGGTAAAAAGTTATTAACTAAATTTTCGGTAAAATTGGTTGTAAGTGGCGTCCTCTATGAGCAATATGAAATTACAACACGCATCTTATTCGTCGCCTAAAAAAATATAGTTTCACAAATTTTCAAGTTCCTAACCTACATATTTTCAGAATAATCGCAAAAAAACGATTTAAAATTTTAACTTTCAACACCCTGTATTTCCGAAACTATCAACTTTCGAATAAGGCATGTTTGTGCCAATGGTCACCATTTCACGTGTAGTATCTTCAGCTTTCGTCTTTCCCATTGTTAATGAATCACCCTGTATAATATTAATAAGAATTAAGTCTCTTGAGTAGTGTGATTTTCTATCGTTTATGTTTTAACAGGCCAAGGTTCACCCGAACGTAACAAAACTTCGCTACAACTCTTTTTGGACGCATTTGCAAAAGGAGAATATAAATTCGAAATTGGACAGTCCTTGGCAGTATACGACTCTGAAGAATCAAAAGAAAAAAGTTACAAGGTACACACTATAGATGGGTATGACAACTGCTTGGGACTCACTACTGACGCTTTTGAAACCATTGTATTGGAATGCCCAGGAAAGAAGCTAGAGAAACCCGAATGCTTCAGTATCTTTACACCGAAAACTAAGCCTCAAAATAAAACTATAATACCTGCTAGAGAGGTTTGTTTATACATAAATTAGTATAATTTGTAAATAGAATCTCGTACCTGTACAGTGTGTTCCCGAATGGAGTAGCGCAATCTTGTAAAGTCCTTTAATGTTAATTTAGCTATTAGTCCAGGCGGTATCTGTCTTACAAAGGGTGTACTTGGGTAAAACGCATATGATCGGAGATTTTTGCTTTAACAGCTTCTAAATAACATCAGAAATGATAATTTTTCTATGCAAATAAAAAAAACGTGGGCTTAATTGTTATTACAAAAAAGTATAAAAAAATAACAAAAAAAATCATTTTTTTCTTGGATTTCTCGTCGACAACTTAACAGCTATTCATTTTAGACAAAAATGGAAAAGGAAAAAAAGTTTTGTAATTAAATTTTGAACAAGATAGAGTTAGTTGCAATTCGAAAAAATAATTATTGTTGTTGCAAAAATCGGAAAAATCATTTAAAAAATTGCAAAAAATGCTAGTTTATTTGTCAATTTTTTTCAGACACTTGAATAATACCTAGGATCTTCATACTTTTCCCAATTAAACTTCTTAGTGCATAGAATCATCACACCAAATTTCATCCAATTCGGTTCGATAGTTTTTACATAATAATTGTATTATTTTTTTTTTTTTTTTAAATTAAAAAATTTTCAAAATCAAATTTCTAAAAATCTAAAGCCTTTGAATACTTGAAAATTTCACCACAAAAAGAAGAGCTCTCAAGCTTTAAAATGCTTTTTGAAAAATTCAAATCGGACGATTAGGAGAGCCGTGGTGATTGTTTAAACATTTTCGCAATTTTCACGCTTATAAACAATTGCAATAATTTAATGTTCTTTTCAAATTTTTGGTAATACTAGTAAGTTTGTTTAAATATTATAAAATTGTTTAAACAATAATTATTTAAATAAACAACTGAAAATTGGTATTAATTTTTAGTTGTACGATAAATTTCTAAAAGTCTTTCAAAAATTATTACTCACATAAATTGTGAATAATTATAATTTTAATTTTTTCGTTTACTTTTAAAATATTTATCTAAAATTTATTTTTTATTTATAAAAAAAAGTATAAGAATCTTTTGGATACTTAATTAATACCAACAACATGGTGCAACATGCAAAAATTTTGGTCGTGAAAATTAACATAGTAAATAAATAAACATAATAAATTAATCATTTTTTAAAGTAACTGTTTATCGGCATGTCAAAAGTCTAATAGTTAATAATAAAATGTAGTTGAAAATATGATAATTGAATTTTTTAGTTGCGAGACATCGATTTAAAAAAAAATCATCGAAATTGGTCCATTAGACGCTGAGATAAGTGAAATTTTTCCGAGTGTCGCAATTTTGAACTCGAGAATTCAGATCGGAGTAGCTGTGTGCTTGCTCCCCCCACCACTGATACTTCATTGATTTCATGCGGTCTTGAATATCTTTCAGTGACATTTTAAATGGGACGCCCGTGATTGAAAATTTTGAAAATTTATATCTGGAAATTACTCGGAATAACAAACCTATTGGTTCAAAAAACAGCCCTTATAGTTTTGCTGTAAATATGGGTTATCTTTAACGGGCTATAACTCCGAAAATAATGGCCGGATCATCAGGTTTTTTTAAATACTCGCCTTTCCCAGTACTTTCAAACCATATTTTAAAATTAAAAAAAAAATTGAAAATACATTAAATTATTGCAATTGTTTATAAGCGTGAAAATTGCGAAAATGTTTAAACAATCACCACGGCTCTCCTAGTCGTCTGATTTTAATTTTTCAAAAAGCATTTTAAAGCTTGAGAGCTCTTCTTTTTGTGGTGAAATTTTCAAGTATTCAAAGGCTTTAAATTTTTAGAAATTTGATTTTGAAAATTCTTTAATTTAAAAAAAATAAAAAAAATAAACAATTATTATGTAAAAACTATCGAACCGAATTGGATGAAATTTGGTGTGATGATTCTATGCACTAAGAAGTTTAATTGGAAAAAATATGAAGATCCTAGGTATTATTCAAGTGTCTGAACAAAAAATTGCAAATAAACTAGCATTTTTGCAATTTTTTATATGATTTTTCAAATTTTTGCAACAACAATAATTATTTTTTCGAATTGCAACTAACTCTATCCTGATCAAAATTTAATTATAAAACTTTTTTTCCTCTTCCATTTTTGTCTAAAACGAATAGTTGCTAAGTTGTCGACGAGAAATCCAAGAAAAAAATGAACTTTTTTGCTATTTTTTTATACTTTTTTGCAATAACAATTAAGCCCACGTTTTTTTTTTATTTGCATAGAAATATTATCATTTCTGATGTTATTTAGAAGCCGTTAAAGCAAAAATCTCCGATCATATGCGTTTTACCCAACCCGAAACAAGTACCGCCTGGACTATATGGGCAGTAATCAAATATGTAATAAAACATACAGGGAGTCCAAAATATTTCAAAATTTGAAAGAAGCCCACACAAAACATATGGAAATTGAACACCGATCAATTTATATGAAACTTCGTATTTTGATAGTCCTCATCATGCTGATCAAAATTTTTAATGGGCACGAAGCCTTACAACCCTTTCCAACCCCCAAAGATCAGGGTAATGAACTTGACAGATTACGGGTCAATTGGGTTACCGTGATATTTCACTACTGTAGTTGAACCTAGCCATATCTGGGCTTAAGACTATCAATGGGCACCGAGTCCTGCAACCCCCACCAACCCCCCCCCCCAATGTCAAGTAGATGCACTTAATATAAAACTACCGAAATATTTTACTACTGCAGTCGAACCTACAGGCACCCAAACTGTAACTAGGCTTAAGACTACTATCTCCAAAACACTTAGCCCCCCATCCTTCTCCCTCTCCACCAACTACCAAAGCCTGTCATATGACTTTTCCCTGCTTACTGGTTGTGTAACTGTTTAATCGTGAATTCCATTTCACAACCACCTAAGCGATCTATACTTTCCGACGCCGACCCCCGACAATTGAACCACCCACCCCCAACCCAAATCCTACGATTGGGGTCGGACCAACCCCAGTTCTTATCGAAGCCTGACATGATTTTTGCCTGTTTATGGCTTATGAAACCATTCAATCTTGAATTCCATCCTGCATCCATCTTATTGTTTAATACCCTTTAACCCACAAAAAGTACCAAAACCTACCATAAGATTTTTTGCTGTTTGAGGGATGTGAAACCCTTGCTATACGTTCGACTGCAGTAGTAAAATATTTCGGTAGTTTTATTGACCGATAATCCGTCAAGTGCATCCCCCTGACCTTTGAGGGTAGTTTTGGGGGGTTGGTGGGGGTCGTAGGGCTCGGTGCCCATTGATAGTCTTAAGCCTAGTTATGGTATAGGTATCTTTAGGTTCGACTACAGTAGTAAAATATTACGGTAAGCCAATTGACTTGTAATCTGTCAAGTTTATTACCCTGATCTTTGGGGGTGGTTTTGGGGGGTTGAAAAGGGTTATAGTGATTCATGTTCATTGAGACTTTTGATTAGCATGACGAGGACTATCAAAATACGAGGTTTCATAAAAATTGACGGGTGTTCAATACTCGGGGTTCTTTATACAGGGTGTCCCTGAAATGGATGGACAACGCTTGACCACAGGTTCCTTGGATGAAAATAAGACTATTTAGCCTAACTTACCTATATACAAAAGTGCACGCCTACTGAGATATAGCTTTCTAGATATAGAATAGATAACCTATTTCAAATAATTTGAAAACTATTTTTCTTAGAAACTTCAAATTTGGTACACTTATCTTTTTATATAACGGCAAGGTAAATATAGAATTTGGAGAGAATACATATACAAGATGTTCTATTTCTAGTGCCTGTGCGCCGCTGGCTATCCCGTAACTTTTTTGTGTGTATGCCAATGACGACAGAATTTATATTTTTAAAAATAAGCACTATTTTAGAAGATTTTTTTTGCTCTTACAAAATTTCGATATCGTTTATGGATTTCGAGTAAAATTCGCATTTTTTATACATTAAATATAGGCAAACATTCCGATTTATAAAAAATAATTTATAACTGTAGCCTCAAAGCAGGGAATAATAATGAAAAAACGTCACATTAAAAAAAAATAACCACATTTTTGTATTAGTATCAATAAAATAAAAATCAACACTAATATTTTATATAAACAATATCAACTAATAATGTAAAAAAGTCAACATTAACATTTTAAATAAACTGATATTTGTAATCACATTAAAATAATATTACAGTAAATGCTCAAAGTTACTTTCTTGTTCTTAAACGCAAACATTAGTTCTTCGAAAATTAGAAATTATCCAATAATTGTGCATTACCTCTCATAACAATTCGTTTTCTGTATTTACTGAAAAGTTATTTTAAACTGTGGTCCTCAACGCTCCCCAAATGAAATAATTACATGGGTTTAGGTCCGGGGATCGAGGTGGCCATTTTAAAGGGGCATTATTTCCTCTACCTATCCACCTATTAGATCTTTAATAACCTGTAATACCTACCTGTACCCTGTAATATCTGTAACCTGTAATAACTGTTCTTTCAATACTCTATTAAAGGAACTTTTTGAAAGCCAACCTCTGCCGCTAAACGCTTTTTATTTACTTCGAATTTCTTCGACCCTTTCCAAAATTTGTTCCTCCAGCTGAATAATTCCGGCCGTACATTATCCACGATATAATGTTACAGGTAAAAAACGTCCTGTTTCCCGAAGGCGTCTCTCCGCATTAGCAAATGTTTTGTGATTTGGAGTTCTTCGATTAGGAAATCTTTCAACATATGTTCGAACAGTAGCACAACAATTTCCTTCACAATAACCCAAAACTACTAACATACCAGTTTGTTAAGCAAAAGTATAAATTGCAATAAAAAACAAAGTAAGCTAAAATTAAATCACAGCTAGCTTGACACAGAACCTTTTAATTATTGTTATGAATTTGTTTCTCTGTTATATGGCACCTCGTACTAGAACGTTCTATTTATCTTAAACTGATTTTATATTA